GAGATTACTTTTCACAGAGTTTCATGAAGTGGCAAGCATGCACACGCATCTACACATCGAGTGAAAACGACATGTGCACAAAGATTTGCAAAGCTTTCATCCTTGCTGTTTTTCTAAACAGGTTTAAAGTCCCTGCATACTGTAGGTATCTGTAATACAGGGATGGGCAAATGGCGGCACCTCCTCTTTTTGCGGCCCTCAGATTAATTTATAAACAACGTAATTAATTAATTAATTAATTAACGTGTTATCTATGATTACTATACGCTTTTCATTCATAATTTCAGCGGGGAGGAGCAGCGCTGAGGAACAGCAGAGTGCGGGTTGACAGGTGTCTGTTGACATTCCCCTTATTGTGCGTCAGCAGAGACAGGCTACAAGTGTCTTAGGTTCAAGTTAGACAACTAATGTCTGGGTTAGTGTTCATGACTTCATGTTTATGTCATCTTAATGGTTAATCTCAATGCACACACATTTTCCGTGCTTTCCAATAGTTTAAAATAGTTTTATTCCACTGTTAAATAACCTGTTCAATACAAACATGCCACTTGTAAATACTTGAAATAACATTTCTGTGAACTGATATTTGTTTAGTGAGCTTATTAGAGGATGTTCCCTGAAAGATTGTAAAATGTCAATGAAGATGTCAGACTTAGTATATTTGTTAATAATTACATACAATACATGGAATTTGTGTGTGTGTGTTTTCCAAGTGAATCTGCGGCCCCCTGGTGGCCACTACATACATTATGTGGCCCCCACCACCATCCAAGTTGCCCATCCCTGCTGTAATACGTCTGAAAGATGGAACAGGGTAGCTATGGTTAGATTTTATAACACTGGTTTAACACATATCAAGAAAACCAACCATTAAAACTATCTCAATATAATATTAACTTTCACCCCATTGGAGATGATGAACTGCAGACCAAACTAGCTACTTATAAAACTTTATTTCCGCTGAGCTGCATGTTATTATCTTGTTTCAACAAACAAGCAGAGCTAACTTATTCCCACATGAACGCACTAAAACCATAAATAATGTTTAAAAGCATTTAAAATCTATTATACTTAAAATAATTCTGTATTGAAGTGAGAGAAAATTATCTCTGAAGGTCATTTCTGTTATTCACTGGAACAGCATAGTCATTTTCATTAAAGTATAATCTGTTTTCTGGGAAAATCTATAAAAGCATTAGGTATTCTATCATTAGATATGGAAAAAGCTTATATTTTGACATTTTATGTTCACCCAAGTAACGTTTTTTATTGCTTAGAAATGAGCCGATAGTACTGTAATGTACCTACCTCGACACAAAATGGCCCTAAGCAGTGTGCGAAATACCCGTCAATAATCTCCCGTTTATTGCGCAATATACCGGTCGAAGATTTCTTAATATGCAGTAGGCCTATACAATATTTCATGGATGCAAGCCAAGACAATCAGTAGTCTATAGCAGCGTTTCTCAACCGGGGTGCCGTCTGGCGTCTTCAGGGGTGCCATCAAATAATTCTGTATTCTGACGTTCATATGAATGAATGAATACGCGACCGTTAAAGAGCCGTCTGTTTTCGATTCTATGCGAGGAAATGCTTTTGCCAGCCAAAATAGAAGATATTTGTGAATAAATGTTTTGAATTATGAATACTGGACATAGTAAGCTTACATTTTTTTTAGTGACCATTGCAAGTGACAAATACATATTATAATTTGAGACCCCCCTCAAATCTTGCTGTTGAGGCTTTCAGGTGTTAATCAGGGGGGTCGAGCTCCCCCGGACCCCCCCGTATTTCGCACACTGGCTAAGTATATTGTACCTGTGAACACTGTCACAATAATACTAAGGAAAATGTAATTGAACTCATTGTCTAAATGCTGGAGCCCTTCTTTAAATTGTAACCATTTAAGGGACAATATGGAATCTTTCTATAAAACCGCTTATCTCAATCATTTTTGGGATTTTTTTAAATGTCCGAAGCTCCAAGACTTCTTACAGGCTAGCCATGAACCAATGGGTGTAAAGCACACCCCAAGGAACAGTGCTGGATCTTGGCTCTATAGCAACAGTTACTGGATACGCAGCACCCTGGGACATACAAAGAGGTCTGGCCATGTGGATTTATCACAAAAGCTATGGCTGTAAAACTAATCAAAACATTTTCTGGGAATAAAATACATCGAAACTCAAACCATTTTGTCTGACATACTCCCAAGCCAATTTTTGAGGTACATCTAGGGAAAACTGATGCCGTCTTGCACATTGGACCTGCAAAGACTACTACTTCCATGTAACTGATACTGTTCCATTTCTGTGGAGACTGATTTTTAGAGTTGTAAATTCAATTGTATGGTCCTTCTGTGGCGTTATTGAATCGGCAACTTTATGAACATTGAAAAGCCAGCACCATTTTTTTGTTATTTGTCTGTGTAATATGCTAATATGGCACAAGCGGTTAAAATAATGGGGGTGGGAGGGGATTTTTTTAGATTAAGTAGTTTTATTGGAATGAGTGTGCTGCCGTGTTTGGACAGCTCTTTCATTGTTTTTTACATCAAGGTGGCAAAGTAATTAACGAAAATATTAACAATGAAAGGCCATGAGTCAGAGGCAACGTTTTAGCTAGTTCAGTTAGCAACTGTGCTGGCTTAATACCTATTTTCATTAAAGAGACATATTTTTTCATCACTAAATAAACAAGGAACACTAACTCTACCTAGCCAAAATATGTCAACATCACTTGCATTGTAAAAAAAAAATATATTGTTTAGTAACATAGGCAGAAAGCCAGTATCCCTTGATACAATATTACATGTGAAAAGCCTCAGTATCCTCAAATGCTTTTTAATGTGCCTCTATTTTTAGCAATGGGGTATATTCATGTTGACAACCAAGAGTTTCTTAGTTTTTCTTCTGAATCTGAGGTTTGAAATGTATCTTTTCTTGGATACCTGTAGGATTGTCCCTGAAAATAACTACATAACTATTCAGTTTGTTCACTCATTCCAAGGCCTGCACTTGGTACTTTCCCTTAGACAAAAGACTGACACCAGAGCTGAGGGCTCTATCAGTCAGCAAAGCTCAAGGCTAGAGTGAGATTTTCTTGCAGGAAAACATAGCAGAAGAGACCTGGTTACAATCTGCTGCTGGCATTCATGGTCTTTACTCTCCAGGTGGTGTGTTCACTGAGTGTTTACAGCCAGTATTATTTGTAATAACCATTTTCAACCATCTTGCCTCATGACTGTACCGGTATGAACACATGTATTGTTAAGTAATTAAATTGATACATTTGAAGCACAGAGAGATTGTTGTTTGGTCAGCCGCAATCCTGCTCTCTGGGTTTTTCCTCCTCTGTCATACCATCAGAAGCCCTCCATCTCTCTTGTACCCATCTGACACAGTTCGATTGAATTTCACCTCTTGTCACTTTGCTCGCATGGCTTCGCCTCGGAGCCACACGCTGACACTTGCTTGCACAACACACACAGACGCACACACAGCCCATGTTGAGACGTGATGGCTGAGCAGCAGGCCAGTCATGACAAGTCCTTCATGCTAGCACCTGGCTGCGTGTGTGTATGCGAGACACCTAATGCCTACACCTCTCAGACACACACACGCTGTCAGGAATACGGATGCATTCATGGATAGCTTCTCACGTACACACACACACTTGCTTCTTTTTCCCCCTGGTACAAAAGAGAGTGAGCTCAGGTAGCTGTCAGGCACTCTCCCACAGGGAACAGTGGGCAAGTCAAAAACAGCCTCCTCGCCTGTCACTCCGCACACACACACATTTAGACACTGTGCTTCAGTGTGAGGGGAGAGACAGAATGAGATGCTTTGGGCAGATGCTGGACCAGTTGTCCAAGCTGCACACAAAGAGTTTTTGTGTGTTTGTGTGTATTTGTGTGCGTCTGCCAGATTGTCTATCTGCCTATCCAGTACCGCAAAGAACACCTGCCAGCGAGCCCAAGTGGACATGCCGCCTTGCATTTAGTCTTGGCCTGGGAGCCACTGATAAGAAAAACTGTGATGTAGCCTTGTGAATGTTGGACATGTATATCCTCAGCAGTGTTCACCCCTCCAGCCAAGAGGAGGTTTTTTTTTTTATAAAAGTGGATTTTTATGTGCTTTCGTCCATTGATTTCCAATCAGGTTGGCTACCTGTGAGAGCTTTCCGTGTCTTTGTACGCCCCTGAGGCAAGGACATCACACCAGCTGGATACCCAGCAGCCCTCAAAGTGGGCACAGAGCCACAGCAGCTGTAGCTGCCACAACACGGGTGAATTACTCCCTAAATTGATGTTATGTACAAACATCACGAGCACATACGCACACAGGTACTCCCTGTTTGATTTGCGCATTCAGCAGCCAATGACAAAGTTTACAGAGTGCTGTTTCTCACTTGGTCTAAGCAGAGGAATCAGTGGGAATTTCAAAGTCTTGAGAGTTGTTGTTGCTTGACTCAGAAGTGTTTGGCTCACCTTGGTTTGTCTTCTTGTTGCCGCCCATACCATGGTTTTCTGGACGGTCGATTACTGATGTTTCACTGCCTCTTCAAAAGATGGAAATCACCCTGCTGGGCTTTCTGTAAATGTATTTTAAATGTTGTGGACATTTCCAATTTTCTTTTTAACATTGAAGCTTTTCTAAACCCGTCAGTAGCCTCAGCAGGCCCCGCCCTTCATGGGTAGATTCTCACTGAATGAATTGATAGCATCTGTTTTCTTTGAGCCAGGATCACTTTGAATCCCTGATGCATTTGTGTGACTGACCTGTGTAGGGTTCTGCACATGACCCCAATGGCCGACTTATATCAAAATGGATCTGTACAGACATGCCATACATTTTCTTTGCGTTGAAAAGTGAACTGTGCATTGTGTAGGTTTTATGGTCAGACAGCTAAGAGCTGCTGTAACTGAACTTGAAATGAGTTCATAGGATCAGATGTTCTTGTATCAATCCTAACACCTTTTTTTGTCTCCTGTCTGGCAGGCTGCAGAGGGATGTTGTGTGGCTTTGGTGCCGTATGTGAGCGTGACCAGACTGACCCATCCAAGGCTGACTGCGTTTGCAAGAAAGCGGATTGTCCATCGTTGGTGGCACCTGTCTGCGGCTCTGATTCGTCCACCTACTCCAATGAGTGCGAACTGGAGAAAGCCCAGTGCAACGCCCAGAGACGCATCAAGGTTCTGCGCAAGGGTCCCTGCTGTAAGTAACTCTTGATTACCAGCCATTAGACATTTTAACAGTGTACATACAGCGCCTGAAGTGTTTTGGATATCAATATGGTGCTTTTGATCCAGAAAAGCTCAAATCCAGAGAGTTCACTAAATCTATATTCTATATCTATATATATATCAACAGAGCACAATCTGAAACGAGACTGACACTCTCCATGAAACCGCTGTGAAGTGTAGGTGAATACATTGCTTAAAGCACAGTGAATGCCAATGTTAGAATAATAGACACATGACTTAGCATGTTTTGATCTCTGGGACAGAAAGCTAGCATGGTTAATTCAGCAGGCACAAAGTGGCGAGTCTCTGAGTGACACTAAATTGCCTGTTATTGTCAGGTAAATGGATTCCTATTACACCCTGTCCTTATACAACAGGCTTTGCCTTCCTATCTTTATCCCACAATAATAAAACACGTCCCCATTATGTCCAGTCTATTGTCTTTCCAATATGGCTACGTTCCCAGTGCTTAATCGCCACCTGTGCCACTCAAAATTCCCATTGGGAGCCATCCAGGGGATTTTTGTGTTATCCCTCAGCCTCTAGTATGTGACTACACTCCTGCACCTCTCGTTGTCTCTTTTTAGCAAAGCCCATTAGGATTCAGGGCTCTGAGGGAAGCAGCAGGCTCCTGCCAAACCCGAAACATAGCATCAGCCTCAATAATAACTATAGAGTTGTTTCAGCGTCGTGCCTGCCTGCCATTGTGGGCACAATGCTAATTCCAGGGGTCTGATTACAGTGCCGGCTTGGACCTGGCACTAATAACAAGCTGGGTGACTGCTCGCCATGGGAAGGGAGGAATAAAGCGATATAAAGGACAGCGAGGGGACAGGGGGGACAGAGAGTTCTGCAGGGAAGCATCTGGAGAGGTAGGGAGGGAATAATGTCGAGAGAGGAATGAGATGTGAAACATTTACTGAACAAGGGGGAGGCTGGGGCGAGAGAACAGGTGAGCAGCAGTAGTATAAATCCAGCGAGAGAGAGTAGTGTGAGTGCTGTAAGGATGGTTTATGGAGGGTTAAGGCCATCAGAGGCTCCATAATTACAGCTATACACAACAGGAAGAAAATAGTGTAAAACATAATAATTTGTGATACTTGTGATTATAACTACATGCTCACTACAAGAACAGAGACTTTCAAGTCCAACACAAATTGTAGGGCAGCTTGTTCATGTAACCATTCATTCTGAGTGTTTTTATAAAAAACACAGAGCTCTTTGGTAGTATAACTGTTTAGTTTTGTAAGTAAAAAGTTGGATTGCAAGGTTAAAACAGCAATGAATGCATGGTTTACAAAGTAGTAGCATTAGTTATTTTGTTTTCCACCGATAACATTTAAACACAACTGCCTTTAAAGAATCCATTACATTTTTGGGGAAAGCAAATCACGGTTCTGATAAATCAACTATTTCTCACTTACGGAAATGGCCTTTCCTGAGATCTGCGCTCTCTGAGTACCCTTTTAGATTTAAGACGGTATTCATAAAGGTTAAAGTCATCCTTTTATCTGTGGATCTACTCCGATCTCAGAGATGTATCCATTCTTTATCTTTCAAGCACTGATGTATGTGACCTTGAAGTCTTAGCTCTTGGGCACCAATACTTTTAATAAATGGAAATCAAGATATTGCGTTTTTACTTTTAAGAGACACCAGAAAGCATCCATAAATTCCCTTCATGATAGTTCTGCCCATTCTTCCAACATGCGGATGATGTTTTGTATGTTGCAATGAACTCAATGCCATCAGTCACTGTAAAGAAGGAGCCATCTGTCAGTATGGACCTTTACGTCTATTGCACAGCCCTGTTGAAAGCTCCCACACTGTATAGCGCAATGAATGATTCAGCCACAGTAAGCTGTGGTTCCGGATTCTTCTGCAGACTTTTCTTTGTACATTTGTGTATTTCTGGATTGATGGGTGTTTGCATTCATACTTTAAATACAGTTACTGTAGGTAGAGGTGAAGGAACCAGTAAGGTATAAGCACATGTCTGCCAGAGAGTGAGGGTGTTGAGAGGTCAGGGGAAGTGGATTGACAGATTCTCATTTTCTTTCTGCCGCCAATAAATTTAGCCCATCCAGAGGGTCTGGACAGGTCACCCCGGATGAGATTATGGTGTTGTCAGGGCTCATGGAGGAAGAGAGAGGCGAAGTGGGAAGTGGGGAAAAGTGTGAGGAGGAGAGAGCCAAGAGAACAAGAGAGCTTTTAAGTCTAAGAATAGTGTGGGCGGTTGGATCGGCGCTTTTGTGCGGAGCCGTGTTTGACTCATTTGATTTGAATGGTGGGTTTTCATTGGGGTAGGTGAATTGAGTTCTGTTCTGAAAAGCCGTCATGTCCAATTCACATCTACTCAGGAGCGAAGCCACAAAATAGGTTTTTTCTCCCAGATTATCCCTTATTTCTAAAGAGGCTGCAGTCATACAGAGCAAGTTGTTAGTATTAAGTGTGAAGCTATGCTTTTGCAAACAGGTGAGATGGGAGCTCACCCTAAAGTAAAAACATACTTTTAAAGAAGAAGTAACACATTACTCCTGCAAATGATAAGTTGAAATCTCAAAGCGTTAATGGAACTCTTATTCAATAATTAATTTGGGATTTTGACTGCGACAGAACATCCTTACTGGCTTTAGTATGACGATTAGCTTATGGTGGCTAATGATTAGCTAGAATTTAGATCAATTTTTCTCATGTAACTTATTCTCCACTTGTGCTACATGCAAACTAAATCTTTACATTTGCAATTATCCTGTAATTGACACTTGTGGGCACTAACTTACACAACTACCTAGTTGTGTAACATTACCTAGTTCATTAATGATCTTCGATCATATTTAGTTTGACAGTTCTGGTTTCATACAACCTGGGTCTTGTTTCTTGTTTTGGCCATTGGTCCTATTGGTCATTGTACTCACCACGTTATTTGTTGATATTTGGGATAGGCTAAGTTAAGGCAGGAAGTGTGAGCCGTCACACGATAAGACCAGGTCAGTCTTGCTTATTTGTAAGAGAAAAGGAAGATAAACAGTAAAATGAGGAACCTGACTGCCAGTTATAAACATCCATCCCAGACGACAGACCAACTTCCTCGCAAGACTTTGTCCCACTTTAATCCCCATACTTGTTTTCCTGTGCAGTCAGGGATTTCCCCTGTCCACTTCCCCCCCTCCTGACAGATGCCCCTATATTCCCACTCTTCTGACTGCACGGCTCAATTTAGCTCAGATTGCCATTACGGTGAAAAAATCCCCCTTTTAACACATTCATTTAGCGCTTCACTCATAACATCGAACTGGCTATTACAACGTTTAAGTGCCAGGGTAACGGTGTAAGTCCCCTCCTGAGGGCAGGACAAAACGGCCTGCTTGCCGCCGAAGCGTGGGCACTTAGTTGCCCCCAGTGCTCCGCTCTAATATCCACATAACCTCGCCCTTAATAGTTCCAACGAGCGCTGCGCCGGCTTCCTCATTATCTTCCTTTTGTTCTAGATGGATGATTTAGGATGGGCGGGGTTACGTCTCCAGCGGTCAAGCTGGGCAGGCGGTGAGCAGATAATAGCCTCTGATAATACTGGAATGAAAAGAAGGAGTCACGTTTAAATTGGCCTGGCAGGAGTCTTTAACAACACAAGGCGAGATGAAAAAGCAGTCGGTTAAGAAAAGAAGGAACTCTGAGGAAGAGAGAGAAATAGCCAGGAGAAGCAGTTTCTGCTTCAGAGAGACAAGAGACGTGTGTGTGCATAGTGTGTGCATAGTGTGTGTGTGTGTGTGCATAGTGTGTGTGTGCGGGCATGCACACGCTGCAATCGGCTGGGGAACGTGCACCATGTTGGCTCTCCTAATATTGAACTTGGAGCAGAGTGGTAAATACACTCCCTCTCCCAGAGAGAGCCACAGAAGTGCTGCAGAACTCATCTTGTGTGGCCACTCTAGTGGAACATTTTTTTTTTTTATACCTTTTTCCTTTTTCTTCTTGAAGAAGTGCATCAAGTAATGCAGAAAGAAGTGGAGTGTTGGGAGGTGACTTGGGTTAGAGAGAGTGATCAATGGAGATTGATTTTGTCTGTGTCTGTGTGTGTGTGTGTGCTCGTTCTTGGCCATAAGGAGGGCTCCTACTCTATCAGTCTACTCTCTGTCTGTGCTTTAGAGAGGGCTTTATCTCTCCGGCACCGACACACTCTTGTGTCCTCACAGTGAAAGGGAAAAGGCATCAGTACTCCGCACCTGCTGCTCTGTCTGCGCTAACATACTGCAGGCAGTCAGACTTAATGCACGGTGGATGTGATTGTGAACCTCTTCATCTCTAACATAACGTAAATGGTGCAGCTTCAGATACTCAGATTACAGTGATCTGATTCAACTTATTTTCTGTACTTAAAAGGATCAAACTTGCCTTATATACACCAATCTCCCATTTACAAATACCTTTCCTTATTGTTGGCTTTTCCATCAACATAATGACACACTATTAAACATAACTGCAAAATGACTGTATTTAGATTTTTCCCCCATCCAATATCCACTACGGGCAACTAAAACATGATTAAGATTTTTATGGTTATGTTTTGGAAACTCAAAGCACCTTGTTAGTGTGTGAAAAGATTAAGATTTTAAAAGCATGGTCTCTAGTGTCAAAGTAAACAGAAACCCTGCAACAATTACGTTTTTCTAAATCAAATTGCTAAAGCTCATTGGTCCTTATTTCTTTGTCCTCCACTTATACAGTATATACTTGCGGATAAACACATTTTATGACACTTTATCCATTTATTTTTTGTGTGCAAATGTGTTTTTTGCATGCATTAACTCAAATGCATTGCTGTACCGGACGTGTTATTTGCATATTAAAGTGTTTGATTTAGGTAGTAGCAGATAAATGGACAACCTGAATAAATGAATAGCACATTTTAACACTTCCATACAGGACATGTTTAGATAAATATGATAATAATGAATCATATGCCAGCTA